TAAAAAAAAAATAAAAAGCAAAAATCAAATAATAAGGGTTAAAACCGGTATTAATCGAAACCGAAACCGAAACCGAAATTTGATATTTTTGAAAACCGAAACCGAAATTTTGGATTTTTGAGAACCGAAACCGAAACCGAAACCCATAAAATCATAAAGGTTCCAGTCCCTGAACAAGACAATTATTTTATTAATAATGATCATTTTCACGCACCAGATACAGTTAAACATCATTGCAAAATTCTAAAAAATAAAATTAAAGTTTTCTTTTTAAAAATTAAAGAGTTTCTAAGAGGAATAATAATTATCGTATAATTTAAGTTTTTAGTTTTTTTTTTTTATTTAGCATTTACATTTATTAACGACTAATTTATTTTACGACTTTTTGATACCTATTTTTAAATTTAATTTTTTACGCAGAAAATCGAATCAACGAATAATAAATATTATGGTAAAAATCGTGTTTCATTTATCGATAATTTCGAACATACGACTTTTCGAACATATAATCTTTCGAACAGACAATTTTTCGTACACTTAACGTTCAGACATACAGCATTCGAACACATGACTTTCGAACGCATGAACACACGCATCGAACAGCAACAGCCAATGCCGCCGTCCATGCGGTTTGAAGTTTTGAACAGCAGTATCGGTCTCCACAACAGCAACAGCCATCGTCTACTCGGTACGGGCAACAACAACAAACACAGAACAAACCTCCGTCGAATGGGTATGTATTTATTATAATTAATAGCAAGACCCTAACAACTTTCATGCATATTTTAAAATTTTTTGAGGTTTAAGGTCATATTTTTGATTTTAAGAGCATATTTTTATACTTTGAGTGGATCATTGAATGTACTGATTTTATTATATATTTTATTTTGTTTTGTGTACATGATTTATGAAAAAAAAAAATGTTTTTATATTTATTTTTAAAATATTTTTTGGAAGGAAAGTGAATCTATGGTTGGTACATTTCAGAGGTCAAAATTAAAAATCCCAAGTAATCTTTTTAGCTATTGGGATATACTAAAAAAAAAAAAAAATTTACAAAAACGAAAATCTTTATTCAATATCAGTTTTTCATATTTAGGTATTTAGTCCTTGCCATTTTCTCCAAATATTTATATTAGCATTCTTTATACATGATATAATTTTAATATGACGATTGAACAGTAAACATAGACAATATTAAAACTCATATAAATCCTTTCCCTTTAACGCATTATGCATATTACCATTAATTGTAATGTAATAATGTAGTATACCGAATCTCTTGAGTATTCCTTGAACTGTTATTTGTAACAGTATTTGGATACAAAGAAACGAGCTCAATAGCTCATGTGATAACTACCTCATATAGGTGGTAGGTTAGTAAATAGTAGGTACTATAAGATACTTATGATTTATAATAACGATTAATAAATACAATTTATAAAAAACAATTAATTAAAATTATTTATAAGGGGGTTAATGAAATTATTAAACAATAGGTATTTTATTTATTTATTAAATATTATTTCCTTTTGCTCTAAATCTAAAAAGTTCATGAGGATCTATCACCCATATTTCCCATGGTTAGGCCCCTTACGGGGGTGCAAAGTTTTTTTTTTAAATTGGGGCGAAAAATGTCTAAACGCGGCACTGCAGAGATTGTGGTTAGTAGGTAACCGTGGTGGATAGTTTTTAAGGAATTCGTATTAGGTAACTTTCAAATTACATGCATGCGGATCTTGTCAATGTGTGCGTAGTAAGTGATAATTAGTGTTAAGCCCCCCCTTCCAAAAAAAAAGTAACAAAACAAAAAGAAGTATTCCTCCAGTCCCACCTAACTTGAAATTTCCTAGAGTTAGGGACTTGACACAAACGTGTGACCAAGTAGAACATAATATAGCACTAGTACATTAGTTACGGCACAATAGAATGAAAAAACGGGTCATTAATATAAACTAAATTTAAATCTCTTAATAATGATTCAAACCAGCGAGTTTTAAGTAAATCCTTACATTCTATTGTCGCGTCAGGGAGGTTAGTTCCATGATGAATTCTGCTCCTTGCACTATACGTATCCTGGTATCCAGTACTCCATTGCTTGGCGCCTTTCACTCACAGCACAGCTTCCGACAGTCTGTTTGGCTTTGGGTATAAAGTTCCTGCAAAATCGAATAATATAAAACACAATTCTCAATAACCGTTTAGATTAAAATGACGATTCAGCAGTTGTAAACTTAGTGAAGTGATTGACGAAGTCGTTATTGGCATACTGCATTGCACTGTTCTTTCTTCAATTGTGTCTGATACTGTTTTCAATATGATGTCCGGCCATTTAATTTCCAAATATACCTAAATACATAATACTTACCAACAAAATTAACCACTTAATAATTTTTTCGATTTCAACCGCAATAATCTCCTGAAAAAATTACTTCACAATTGCTGTAACACTCACATAAGATAACACGAATAATATTACAATTTTAAACTAAATAATAGTTGTAAATATCACTGTTAATTATTCAGCACATAATTTTTCAGACTGATGTTTCCTTTACAAACAAAATTTAATTTTTTGTTCATTTTTCTGCCACCAAGGTAAATTTCCTATTCCCCCCCCCAACTTACAACCAGCCCTGTATGCATATAATGACGTTATTATAATCTGTATATAGAATAGCTAATCAGCAATAAGCTGTTTTATTTGTCGTGATGCAGTGGTTTTCAATAATTTCTTTTTGGATTTTTTCAGTATCTGCCATTGAATAATAAATACACGTAGGTAGGTACGACTCGAGAAAATTTGCAAAAAAAAAAATTGCAAAAATTTACAAAACATAATAGTATATAAGATACTAAGGTAGGTACTAGGTACTCACAAATTTGTACAAACAGCTGGTTTCATTTGTTACTTCACCAGATATGTTGCTGAGTCGTTGGTTTGAAATGAGAATCTTAAATATCTTTTCGGCGGACCTAAGACGAAGCGGACTATAATTAGTATAACAGCCAAGGGCAGGCGACTATGGCCACCACCGCGGCGGGAACTGTTATTCTTGACATACAAGCGCATCAACGCGTGTCAGAGTATTCTATTGACTCGCATATGACGACTTTTCAGACGGACTATACACACCGAATTATCACCAGACATATCGCACCGGGGCGGTATAATCGTGCTACCAAGGTATATACGTACTACAACGGTGCACCATGTAGCGTAGTATTGCCCTGGTGTACCTCTGTTTAACGCGGTGTACCTATTGGGGCGCGCCGTGGGACGCCCTAGTGTGAGGAATACGAGTTCTAGCAGCCGGCCAAAAATATAAAATATTTTAAAACAATAATATTTAGTGTGTACAATTTATTATTTTTAGAATACATTTTTTAAGTTAATACAAAACAAATCTTAAAAAAACTATTCAATATTATATTTAAGTAATACATTTTAAAATTAAGTCTAATCATCACAACTACTTTCAGCTTCCTCTTCGTTAAACTCATTGTCTTTGGAGTTTTAAATAATCAATAAATGTATTGCTTCTGGAGATAATTCAGTTGATGATACTTTACTCTGAGGTCTTAATCCTGTTATAAATTTGGTCAGATGTTATCAAAAGAAAGTTAAATAAATCTGTATTTGTGTTAAAGCGTGACGATTTTCTTGAATGATGTTCTCGCATTCGTATATAGTCTTTGTTCCGTGACTCTTGAGCTTCCTCAAATAACTGTCCAATAGGGCATATATTTTGATTGCTAAAGAGCCATGTATCAAAATTTTGTGTACGCTTGGAAGCATACGGTACCAATTATATAACTTTACATAAAGTTAAGCTGTTTCTCTAGCATACTCATCAAATCTTTAGTAATTTATTTCATGACCACTAGAAATCACTGTTTTTATTATTGAAAATTTATGGATTGAACGAACATCAAATCCTGGAATTCTTAAAAAATGTTCGAGCAACATTCCCCGTATTTGATGTACCCATACCCTGAACCCCTCTGTCAACTTTTAAACCTAATTCTTGATTCTTCCCAAAGACGAGATTGTATTTCTTTCTTTTTTTCTGAAATTAAATTTTTTTGTACAGCAGTTGTTCTTTTAGTTGTTGGAGCCGATTCCAATTTATATGCAATTTGTAAAGTGCACTCTAAAAATTTTATCCAGGCATGCAATGTGGATAAACCGTACTTAAAATTATTTTCATTGATTTTAAATTTGTGTATTTGGTCTAAATTGTTCATATTTGTAGGGTTGTATTTACAAATAAAACAAACTATTGGCTTGAAGATCCAATTAAAGTGTTTATTACTTTGCCATCAATAATCGACATTACCATTGTATAATAGACACAACATTATTATTTATATTTAATTTGAGGGGTTTTAGTTCTGAAATTTCTTTTTCCACTTTTTCTACTTCATTGTTTGTTATTTCTACCATCTCTTTATTACACATAAATTGTATTGGTCTACAATAGCGTGTAGACGAAGGTGTTGGATTTGCTCTGTTTCTATTGACCCGACAGTTGGTGGCAATAGAAATATTTATGACTTTTAAATACATTTTTCTATTATAGCAACAGGGTGTTGAATAGAAACAATTATTGATATTTTTAAAAAATTGAACTCAACTTTTACTATTAAACTTTTTTTTTTATTATTAAAATACAACAAAATTTATCAACTGTATCAATAAATAATAAGAAAACCAAATAAAAATAACACCTTGTCATAACATTTTAGTCTTTTACTTTCCAGTCTTTAGATTAACTTATTTTATAATATTATGTTACAAACATAAACTATAACTCTTATAATTAACATTGGTAAATGTAATAAAATGTATACATATAAATATATCATATGAATAAATAAAAAATAAAAATAAAATTAACATTTTAGTCTATTAATTTCTAGTCTTTGGATTTACTTTTTGTATATTATACGGTAACAAACATCATAATTAATTAGTTAATAAGTTCAACTATTAATTTTTATAAGTAAATGGTTAGAAGACTAGATGGAGTTACAGTTATATGTGAACTTGAAAAGCCCTCTGGAATATGGTACTGATTTTTGCATTTTTCCAATAATTTGGGATCTATCAAATTCACAAATATCTTCAACAAACCCATACACAAAGCCTTTCTCTGTAAGTCATTTGACGTGTCATTTGACACATTGACGGTCTTTAAGCACCAAATGGCCGATTGTAAATAATTTGGATTAGGAATCTGGTATGTTTTGCTTCTTGGACCTCTTTTTCTAATACAGCCCATGGTTGTGTCTATTCACCCGCAAGAAGAGACATTTTACAAAATGTATAGTAAAAAAAAAATAATGAATTTAAAATTATTATACTTAAGTTTCGACTAATGACAACAATTATGAACAATTAAAATGTGTGAGTAAACGATTAAAAAATTATTACATTATAAACGGTGAGCTTGTTTGAGTCTTATACTCAATTATTTACAATGAAAGTATAATTTCTTTAATTGTATGACATATATTCCTATTTTTTATTTTAATTAATTATATAAATACGAATTAATACACTTACTTGGTACTATATGTTGATCCATTTTTGATTTAGATAATTACACAACTAGGTACTTGTGTTCATATAAAATATCGAAAAACTGAAAAGTATAATATACTACCATTTGGTAGAATGAAATTCATAAGTCTTTATGAACCATACCTACATTTATCGGCTCATTAGTTAATGATTATCACATACCTATTGCAGTATATTTGTTATCTTAAGTTAAATGGCAACAAATATTGAAGTTTATAGTCGCTAATTACGTTGATTACGCTGATTACGCTGATAACTGATTACTAAAATTTACTAATTTTGACCTGCTAAAAGTTTGATTACTCCCACTGTGGGGCGTCCGCAATGTCAACGTGGTAGTGCACCACGCAACGCATAACCAGGTTCGCCATAGTCATGTACCCCGGTATATACAAATGGTGTACACGGTTACCTCGCACTTAGTAGATAGCGATCAGATACCGGTCGGTAACCGATTTTACGCCAGCGGCAATGGTACTGATCGACTCACACATTGTGGTGGCAAAGCCATGCTACCGAGGTATACACCAAGCCTGTGCACCGCTAAGTGTATCCCGGTTACCACTGTTTGACACGGTGTACCTATTGGCGCCCGCATGGTTTACCTGGTGGTGCACCACGCAATGTATGACCTGGTTCGCCGTATAGTTCGCCCGGTTTACAATGGTGTACACGATTGCATCCCAGTGGACAGCGGTCGGATACCACTCGGTGGAAAGCCCGTCAGATCCGTCGTCGACGGGTCATAGACTCTGAACTACGGAGGTTGATGGTCTGAAGCGGTCAGAATCCCAGTTGGTGACCGCGATGGTTGTCAAAGTGCCAAACTAATGTCTGGTTGTAATTATATTCAGCTTCGTCTTACCTGTTACATAGAGCGATCTCCGCACAGTAGGTACCTATATAGTTCAATATCCAACTAGATTCGACTGGAGGATATAGAAGACGACTCAGCTTTGGACATCTGCTCGCCTCCGATATCTTTGAATATCTGTTTGATAGGAGATATGTACGTCGCACCTACCTAATATTCCATAAAATTAAAAACAAAATGTAAGAAAAATGTTTTCAAATTTACATTAGTCGTAGTGACGAGGCCGTCAAAATATTAGCCATTTTAATAATTTGGAGTCGTTCAAAAATTATGTAAAATGTTTTGATCTGTATATTATATAATTTATTTGTTAACTTTAAAAATAGTATTAAATACTATGTTTTTAAATATAATATATTTTTGTTCTTCTTAATTTTATCTTTTACTCTATTTATAATATTGCATAACTATACTTTGCTACTTCTTAATATCGACAATTACTAATTTATTATTTTATCTATTAATTTTAAGTTAATATAATATAAGAACCGCTCCCCCAGCACAAGCTATGCTTTTTAGGGGGTGCTGCAACTAATTAATTTACGGATTTATATAATGTGTCTCATGTTGTTTTGCAAAATAAAGTATTATTATATTATTATATAACTATAAGTAATTTATTGCCTTTTTGGCTTTGGATAAATTTTAGCATTATTTTATTTTTAAACTATAAAACAGTTAATTAAATAATATAATTTAAGACTATTAGCTAATAGTTCACGACACGAATTGTAGTTAATGATATAAAACGTCAAACGACACACTATACGCTATTAACAAAATAACGAATAACTGACACTGAATTTAGATAGGTAATTGTTGTGCGATTATTAGGTACTAATCTAATCTTAATCGCAACTTTTATAATGAAGTTTAAATTTTGAATTAATTATTACTCGAGATATTTTGTCATGGAATATTTTTGTCTTGTAATATTTTGTCGGAGATATTTTTACCGGGATATTTTGTCGTGGAACCAAAAATACATACCTGAGTTATATTTTTTTTATTCCCCTTGAGATTCTGTGTATCGAAACATAGAATTCGATAGAATTATATTTTTTTTTCTATTGTTCTGTATTTTTAATGAATCTAAAACACGAATATTAGTGCGAATAATAAAATAAATGTATCAAATAGTACAGTGCGTATTTAATAATATAGGTTCTCAAGTCGAAACATATCTCATCGCATCATGACCTGCTATAGGAAACTAGTGTATTATATTTTTAAAATTATTATTAAACATCAATTCAGTGGGTACCTAGGTAGGTATGAGTAGAATTAATGTAATTCCCAGTGTTTATAATTCAGAATTTTGTCTTATAAAAGTGAATATGAGTAAATAGGACGACTTATTATTATGAGTTGCGAAAATCGTGATGAGAATAATATTAGGCATTAGTGTGAGAATAAATACCTACTCGTTATATTAAATGGTATCATAATAATATGTTATTATTATTTCACTATATCATTTATTTCATTATTGTGTTTGACCGAGAACAGAACGGATTTGGTCACGAGTAAAAGTCGGTACCTATCATAATATTTGTAAAACCAATTTAAATGTGCTTAATGTATTAATATAATATAGTTTATCCGTTATTTGTAGAGATAATATTTAACATAAAACAATAACGATATAGGTACATAATAAATCATATTTAATTTATATTTATAGTTATATTTATAGTGTACCCACTCTGTAGGCATAGGTACTTGAGTAGTATTCGATTTTATTTGTTACACTTGTATATGTAAAATATTGTAATATTATCTATATCGTGTCGACTGTCGGCTATGCAGGAGTTAAGAAGAGTCAACTGTGTAAGTGTGTGGTATGCACTTTTGTTTTTAATTTGATTATGTTTCTAGTTTTGAACAAAATAAAAAATGTCTAGTAACTATGTATAAATTGTATAATACACTTTGTATTTTAGACGGTATTATATTTTATGTACTATGCATGTCTATATTGTGTATTTATTTATTTATTTAGGCGTACATTTGTATTTTGTAAAATTATATTTTCTATTGTTATTATTCTATCTGAAAAGTATTTAAAATATTTTTTCTGCTAATTATTATTTAGTCATCTCACAGTTTTAAACTACATATACCATACCACTTGCACTAAGGCACTAACAAATTTTGTTTAACGACAATACTAAAAAAAAAATAATAATCTTTTATAGGTACGAATAATTGGGCTACATACATAAGACGACAACATTGGAATATTTGATTCCATTTAAAATCATAAGGAATACACATGGAAAGTTTTTTGAAACTCTCGCACTGGTCAATTTTTGTTTAAAACAATTTATTTTAAGATAATTTTTGCTACCAACGGTCATCATTTTTTAAATGGAGTTTCTTTTCTTCGTGAATAAATAAGTTACAACTTCAGCTTTTTTTAATTTTCTATATAAATATGGGTTTCATAGTACTAACAAAATTTAACAGTATAATAATAAACTGTCTAACGAACAGCTTCAATACATAATATAAAGAAACCTATTTAGTAAGTAACCCTAACGACAAATTATGACTAATTAAATATTGATACTTTATATTTTGCACTTAAATTTTTATACGCGTTACTATACGGGTTGCATCGGATATTTTAAATGCTGCCTATGGCTCTCCAAAATTACGTGCCATTTTTGCTAAAATGAGCTGTCAAATTAACCATGAAAAAAATGTAATAATAATATTAATTATTATTATTTAACTATTGAGTATTTAAAAACTAAACTCTTGTGATATAACCAGGGGTTAAAGTGGGGGGGCAGTCCCTCTACCTCTGACGGTAGTTAAAAAGCGTCCCATTTAACAAATTGTACAAACATAAAATTTTATATGGAACGAACGCTTAAAACTATATGGAGACATTAGTCCCCTCTGGAATTTTTTTCCACTTTAACCCCTGGATATAACTGTCGTAGAGCGGTAGCTTGTTATACTAAACATATTATAAAATATTTAATATATACACAGAATATCATATCTATATAAAATCATTAAATTTTTGATACATTTAATAAACTAATAAAAAAAGTACATAATAATTGTAATATTTATCAAAACTATTGTTACATGAACAAACTATTTTTCATCTATTTTTATTCTTTTTTGAACAAAACTGTGCCTAATCATTTAATACAGGTACCTAATCATTACAACGAAATAGATAGAAAGAAAAAAGTTAAACTTAACACCTACTCAAATTGTATATGATATAATTAGTGATGTAAATTTGTATGATACAAATGTATAAAATCGTATTATACTGATAATATACACGCTGTATAGAATTATTTTATGCTGTATAAAACTTTTTTTTCGCTAAGTGGTTAAAATAAGAGGTTTTCCTTATCTTTTTTTTTTTTTTTGTAACAACCGTTAACTACAAACTTGTATTTACATTGTACTGTTAATAACTCTTAACTCAAGACTACTAAGTACTAACAACTAACAAGTAACAAGTGTGAAGTAAAAGTTAAAATGGGACGGCCTAGTAAATATAAAGAAGCTGTTACTAAATATTTTAAGAAATCACTGACAAAAAAAGGTAAATCAGAATACTTTGAATGCACGTTTTGTTTAAATTATGTTTAATTTATGTCTATCTGATTCTGATGACGATTATTAAAAATCTATTATTTTATATTTACAAACAAAAAAGGTTTTATTTTATTTTCTATTATTTTTTTTTTTATACTAAACAGGAAACTAAAAGACTTAAGTGTTAAAATTGTTACTATAACCTATAAAGTATTACTATTTACTATTGTTACTTTTTTTACATTAAACATTTA